GGTTAAGATAGGAAGGGCAGCTGCAAACTTTACGGTAAAGCCTTTATGTTTACATGATAAGAACATAGTGTAGACGCAGAATAGTCCACAGGATCACTCATCAGTCTTTCTTTGACTTTCCTGATCTGTAGTTGTATGGCATTCCTGCTTAGAAAATGAAAATACTTTTTCTTTTATATGATGAGGATCTCTGTTCCAAAAGTTGCAAGCATTACTCTCATGTGAATAAATATGTTGAAATATATAGTTTTTTTCTGGAAATTTTCTCTCTCTAGGAAAAGTAAACAAGAGAGCTACAGTCTGCTAGAAATCACCAAGATAATTCACTCTTCTTTTGATATTCTCTTTTCCTCATGTGCTATTCACTTTTGCTTAATTCTTTGATGATAAACAGAGTATGATACACCACTGGACAAATCATGTAAAGGAAATGGAATCATCTAACAATGTGTTCTAAGCGTCAAAAGTGACATGTGGGTCGATGCAAGAAAATTTCTACGTCTCATGAAGTTACAACCCCCCCCCCCAAAAAAAAAAAAAAAAGTCGAGTGCTACTTTCTCTGTCCCAGTTACTTGAGCTACTTTTCCTTTTCCCTTATTCCCAAGCTACTTGACCTTCTTTTTGGATGAAAATCCCCAATATGATAATTCTACTAAATTTAAGCTAACAAATCCCGCCTCTGTGCAAAGTATAATAGGTCACAATCGGGGATAAGGGAGATGTACGATGGGGTGATGGTTAGCATAAAAATACTCAAACTAATTCGAGGAGTCATACGGTCGATCCCAACTAGTTTGGGAATTACGCGCAGTTCATGTATAAATTTAAGCTAACACTATCTTTTTTTTTTTGTTAGTTATCTAGATACCGATAAAATAACCACAAGGGCAGATTTTTGTACATATTTAAATAGATGTGATATATCTTTGACACTCTACTCCACCTTGTATACATTTAAATATCGTCCTGAATCTCCTCTAGGTCGGTCTCATATGGTAACACATGATAGGAGGGAGTACAAAAGTAAGTGTGACACCATGATATAAAAAGCAAGTTAGGACACCTAATTTCAAGGTGGTTTAGGAACTCACTAGTTGTGCTTGAGCTTCAGATTTCTCATCATATCATGTTGGCTTGCTTCATTTCCTGTTTCCCGAGTAGATTTCGACAAACTTTATGTCATATACAAGTGTTGCATTTCCAGGAATATTGCAGTCCCCTACACAAATAACAAACAGAAATCATAATTACTGTGTAAATACCTTTTTATTAAAGAAAAGAAAAAATAAAATATTACTGCGTAAACAACTGCAATCACAACAAACTGAATATATTCTTGTTATTTGCAGAGATGAAAAAGTTAGATGAGTAACATGATGAAAACAGGCAATGAGTCCTTCACAGCCTCCCAAGGCCAATGGTAGCTAGATCCTATAATTGAGGAATATACATTGATTAAGATTTCTAAGATAAATTGCATACTCATTGACATCCACCCTTTCAGAACACAGTAAGCAGAGTTGTTGAAGATGCTACTTGCAAGTAAGTGTTTCTTTCAATAATAATGCAAGTTTTCTTCTCACCAGTAAAACAAAGGAAAAAATTAAAAGACTTATTTTGGCTTAGCTTGATGAAGATAAAGAATAGGCCTTATCATCTGATGTCACGAGCTGATATATGTCTTAAGGAACCCAACAATATAATGCATTTAAAATGTACCAAAAAAACACACCTGAAAAGCAGCCTGCTGGTTCTGGTCCATATGCCAAATGTGGAGGAATCTGAAGCTTACGTTTTCCACCTATGTACCAAAACTTCTAAAGTGAACTATGCTGGGAACAAGAAAAACGTCCACAGGAAGCTCTTATTAGCTGTAAGATCTTACCAATATGCATTGGCGGTACCCCTTCACCTCCCAAGATTCCTTGATCTAATCCCTTGATAACCTGTCAACAGCATGCCCCAGTTCACGAATTGTAGATGAGGTATTGCAAAAATTGAACTATACTCTTCATTTTGTTTTTCGTTTATGTTTCTTATTCATGTACTCCTCCAACCTGAACCTTAGATAAAGCTCTTGGATCTCGTTGCAATTGCAAATTGAGGTGTAAATTACCTCATAGTGAATATATATAGCAAGAGATTCCAGTATAACAGAAAGTTATGGCTTACTGAGAAGTATTGGTTATCACTTAGCAGCACGCTATTTCTGTCTTCCTTTGATCAATAAGCAAATGAGGTTGCTGATGTTACATGGTGCGACAAAATCGACCTTGGGCCTAACTCAATCCCATAAGCTAGCACATGAGGGGAGGATTGACCGTATAAGGAGATCACAATATGTAGGAAACCTGCCCCCCTCCCTGGACTACCCAAATGGAATGTGGATAACATAGCACAAAGGTCCAACACTGAGAAACGCAACAAAAAGGATCAATGATTTTGGCTCTGATACCATGTAAAAAAAATGGAGCTTGGGCGTAACTCAACCCTAAAAGCTAGCTCATGAGGGGAGGATTGCCCAGGACCATATAAGGATACCACAACCAATTCCCTCAACCAATGTGCGAATTAACAAATGGAAATAATCTTATCTAGTTATACTCCATTTGATATCCCAAAACATGGTTGTCACCTTTCTGCAAGCTTCTTTTATATTTCATTCATTTTCCTTCTTTCTTATATGGATAAATGTTTTTTTTATAGTAAAAGATCTCGGTAGCAAAAACAGCGAACGAGGGCACGGGGAATAGGAAAGATGTTAATACATATCCAGACAGTAAGACTAGCTTAATAAAGCCTAGAAGTCTAGTAAATTTGGATGATGGTAACATACACTTACTTTTGTAAAGTAAGAGGCTGCAAACATGGATGATAAATATCTTCAATTTCCAGCATTTATGAAAGTCAAGAAAACAGTGGAAATGAAAAAAGAGGATACACTAAAACATGGATGATAATGCCCTAACAGTTGCTTAATTTAATAACAGTGTCGTTTACATTGTTCTCTTAATCTATTTTTACAAACTGCTCATATTTTGTTTGTCATTACATAGATATCTGTCCAGCTTGATACACTTTTTATGATCTTATTTTTGATGCATATAGTGTATAGACAATAGAAACTATAAATATATACAAACACCATTTCAACTGTCTATCTGATAGATAACCAGTCCTATTCAGATATACAAAGCAGAAGCTAATTCGGAGTCACACTTTATAGCATCAGTTGCAATGGCTTACATCTGACCCCAAAACATACCTTGCCCATGCCGAGGCGCATGGTCAGGGGTCGACCACGTTTATAGCTGCTGTCGAAAACTATGCCATCCCCAAACCTTGCAGTATAGTGAATCTGCGAGAATAATATACCATTCTCAAGTTCAAGAAAGATTAGAGATAGATAACTAGATACTCAAACATTCCCATAGAGACTTACATTAATGAGCTGGTTATAAGGAGCCTCTTGACCAGAGCCAACAGCAATGTCACAATAACCAAGTCCAGAGCGAGCAAAATTGAAGTCACAAGTGGGCTCAGCAGTAGTAGCATAGTATTCAATTCTGGTAGCATCAGCAGTTAGCGGTGTCAAAGCCACTACTGAAGCAGCTAATATTCCAACACCCACTTGCAAAATTTTCTTCTTATTTATAGTAGGAGTTGATTGTATTTGTTGTGGCGAAGAAGAAGCCTTGAAAGTGGCTGCTGTAGCTGTGGGCTTTGGAGTGAAGGGTTGAAGCTTTGGTGATGAAAAGGCTAATGAAGAGACTGCCATTTTTATGTCTTTGTGATTTCTATCTCATTAATCTGCAGCTTGTGGGCTGTATTTTAGATATATGGGCATTGGTTGTTTTTGAGAAGAGGTGAAGATGAGTCATCATACATTTTTGGGGCCCATTTTGGCACACGTGCGGGCCAATTGGCTTTCCCTGGTTTTCGTTTGGTTGCCGGTTAGAGTTATGCAGGTATTAGTTATACATGTATTAGTTATGGAGGGATAAGTTATGCAGGGATAAGTAATGCAGGGATTAGTTATGCAGGTATTAGTTATGCAAAGATTATTTTTTTGAATATTTGGTTTGTTGTATTAGAAATTGATATACATTATATATATTTTAAAGTAAAATGCTTGTTTACAACTATACCCCTGGCCTTCTTTTGCATTGTTTTTTCTCTCTTTCCATTTATGTAGGAAACAATTTAGTTAGGAACTTTGGGTGTTACTTTCACTTCTTCGTCATACTACTGAACTATGTGAAGTTTAGACATATTTGATTTTCACTTCTTAGTTTTGGTATTTCCATTTTCTAGTGGCTTCTCCAGTTTGCTTTTGCTAGTTTGTTCTTTAAAAATGAGAGAAGACAAGGTATATAGTTGGCAAGTGAAAGCAAGTGAAACCTGTTGACGGGTTGGCAGAGAAATAAGGAAGCCTTATGTGTAAAGTGATAGGGGTAAATTTGTCATTTCAGTATTTTATCCATGTATTACTAATACATGTATTAGTTATTCTATATTCTACCCCGCATAAAATAATACACAGATTGACTCATAACTTATACATGTATTATTTATGCATAGTTGAAAAATGTCAACCAAACATGGTATTAGTTATGCAGAATTTTATACAAAATAACTATTGCCTACAAAACATGGTATAAGTTATGTTACCCCTTATACATGAATAACCTTTCTTCTAACCAGCTACCAAACGACCTCTAAGGGTATTTTAACACAAATAGCCGATCACATTTACAATTTACTTTTTTTGCCGATATACATAAATTATATATTGATTCTACACAATTGTACATATATAATACATGAATTGTTCATATATTATTTTTCGTTTAAACATTAGATGGGAGGCTATTTGAGTTAATTCTTCTTTTCTAATTTGTTGATTTTGGGCAGTTCGGGGCACATGATCCAAGCAAGGACTGCACCCCGATGCAGACATCCTACCTTAATACAAGCACTAGTAGCTCCTTTTACCATTTGTTTAATTTAAGGGGAAATTACTTTAAAGGCATTTTCATATCTTGGTATAGTGGCTTCAAGTATCCAATATTATCTTCGTCCCAATTTCTATAGTATTTTTTGCTTATCCAGATTTAAACTTCATAATTTTAGCCATAAAATCTTTTTTGAAGATGAAATTTATATATTTAAAAATTATGTAAAAAGTATTATTAGTCAGAATAATAAATAATTGAAAACATTTAAAAGACATATGCAAAAATCATGATCAAAGAAGAATTTGTTTAGCTCTCAAAATTCAAATACTTTCACATAAGGGACATATTAAGTATTACCTAGCCCATATTTAAATTCAAGGGGGTTAAAATACGAGATATTATAAAACTAAAAATTATACTAAACATAATGGGTGCTTTTAGATCACAAGAGTTTGGAGTTAAAAACATTTATAACAAAACATCCTCCTATTTTATCAAGTTCATCTGGTACTTGGTAGATTAATTGCAAAATCATTAACCTGCAATCATGAATGTTTCTAGCTAATCTCATCTTTCGAAATAATTAGCTTTGGAGTTTTGTTTCTTTCACAAACTCGTTAATTTTCAGTCAAAGTTTTTATCGTCATTGTTACTAACCAATTAGGATAGAACCTACCAACTTTCCCGTTGGAAGATGATAATAAATTCGTCAATTAATGATACTCTCGTGGCTTTGGCACTTCTACTTTGAATTCGTTGTGTCCTACCCCTCCATAAACTATCCATCACCTAAGACTCCTTTAAAGGGGAAAAAGAAAACATGGGAGTATTAAAGATGTTTACCCTAAAAAACACATAACAATTGAATTTATACGCGATTTTAAAAATACATGATATAACTTGGTATAAATTGAGAAGACAGATTAATATTGAAATTGACGATAAGAAAAATCACTACAACAAATATGGGATACAACGACATTTTATAAATGTCGCCATAAATCACTTAAATGTCACAAAATTGTTTACCGATATTTATTTTATATTTATATTAATGTCGGTATTTTCAATGTCGTTAATTTTGTGACATTTAAATTAGTGTCGGCAAATAACTAGCGACATTTATTTACTATGTTTTCAAATGTCAATAATTTGAGCTCTTAATCTATTTTGTTTGTGACATGTATAGAAATGTCACCAAATTATTTATAATTTCTCCCATATGATTTGAATATTAATATCACTATCAATATTTATGGTTAAGATTAGAATAAAGACATTTGCCAAAACTAATGCTTTTTTGTTCTTTTATGTAGTGTAAAAAGGAATAAAATCACTTTTTTACTCATTTCAAAACTTTCCAAGAGGCCTACAGCCACACACCAGTAACACTACGGACAATTAAAATAAACAACAATTACTTGAACATGTAACTACAATTACATAACCATAAATTTTCCCAAAAAATTTCAAAAAAAAAAAAAAAAAACCAATAATTCAAAGCTTCAAGCAGCCATGTGTTTTTCTGATGAAGTGTTCCATGCTTTCTCTTAGTCAAGATTCTTCACAGTAGTAATTGATCTCACAACCTTCAAAAACTGATGTATCCAAGATCTGAGATCAAAAAAGAAAAATTATCACCAAACATATTAAGAGAAACGGTAAGTGACAAAATAACACTAATGTCAAGTACCATGCTTCTAAACTGTTTGCAGCAAATTAACCTATAGAAAGAAAATTGAAATAAACAACGAAAGAGACAAAAAAAAAGTTTAAGGCCTTTAGTTATCACAATAGCACAAATCTCATTTCACTCGAAACGAAAAGGATAAACTTACATAGCACGAGTTAGATTAGATGAATCTGATCGGAAATCGCGACGACGACAGCGGCTAGTGGCTGAAATTTTAGATACGGCTAGCGGCCCCTTCTAGGTTTGAAACGTTTCAAAGATTCAAAATGAAATCTCCATACTATAGATTATAAATCTAGGGTTAAGGTTTAACATTCAAAAGCAGCCACGAATCAAAATATAGAAGATTGAGATTTATGAATCTTAGATTGATTTGAGATACCTTATCGGTGAATTGGGATTAGAGTGAACGGAAGATGTAGAGATCAACTAATGAAGTTTTAGGGTGCCTAGCGGTTTGCGGCTTGAAGAGTCCTAAACCAAATAGAGTTAAATGTTTTTAAACTTAGATTAATATTTATATTGGCCAAAAAAGTTACTTTTTGACATTAATTATAAATGTCACTTGTTTATGTAGTTTTACTCCTAGTAACGTGACATTTAAATCAAATTTCAAAATATTTTTGTCATTTTCCATCAAATGTCGGCATTTTAGTGACATTTTCTAAAAAAACGTCAAGTAATTGACTTTTTCCGACATTTATTATAAGTGTCATTAATTAAATGTCGTCGTATCTCATATTTCTTGTACTGAATTGAATAGCCTTGGCCTTCGAGTTCGATCACTCTCGAACCAAGAAATGCCTCTACTGATGTAAGAACAGAATAACAAGGCGATAAGAGCTAAGAATAACAGTATATTGCTTGTATTGTGTAATACAATGTGTGTTACAAATGATTAGATCTCCCTTTATATAGTAGGGGTGTCCTACTCTTGATACAACTCTATACAAGGTAAAAAATCTCACGATTTGCTAATTAACGGCCTCTCCTTGATACGTGCCGAGATTCCTGCCGTGATCTTCAACTGATCGCGGATATCTCGGCCCTCTGTTATTCGGCTCGACAGATTTTCCTCGATCTTTTTTGGTCTCGATCTTGTTCGGCCCTGATAATTAGGGATTTTGACAGCTTATTTGCTCTCTTTTACTTGCGTTTTAGCTCAAAAATGCTCAAAGATATTCCTGGAAACTAACAAATGTGCTTACTTGCAAAAATATTAGAAAACCCGCCAAAGAAGTCAAAAAAGTGAACAAGAACCAAAACAGGGCAAATGAGATAGCAGTGTGGACCGCACAATTCTAGTGCGGCCGCAAAAGGAGATTCAGAGAAGTATGTTTTTGCCAGCTCAGGGAGTGCGGACCGCACAGAAATTGTGCGGCCGCAGGAGGTCAAGTGAGGCCGCATCCATTTTTATGCGGACCGCAGAGTTGAGATTCAGAGAGCTGGAAAGTTTTGGGGTGCGGACTGCATCATTTTTGTGCGGCCGCATAATCCTGAGTGCGGACGCACCCACTTTTATGCGGACCGCAGAAGCCTGAAGATTTCAAGCCCAATTTCCCAAGACTGCGGACCGCACTAGAATTGTGCGGTCGCAGAAGCCCATTTTGCGGTCCGCATCAGAATTAGGCGGCCGCACAACCTCCGTAAGGGTATTTTTACTAGATATTTTCAACTTAGTATAAATAAAACTTTTTGTCATTTTTATGTTAAGTTTAGTTGGCAGATGTGCACCTGAACGTTTTTCTTTACTTCTTTAAGTAATTTTGTATTAGATTGATTTCTTAAAACTAGATTTTCTTTGTTTAATCTTAATTTCTTCATTTTTCCTGAGTAGTTAAATCTTTAGCTAGGGTTGTGGCCCAACCCTAGTGTGGGTATTTAATTTTAGAGGCTTGTTTGTGATTGGGTTAGTGATATTTATCCTTATTTATGCTTAAACCCTAGAATTAATGGTTGCAAACATTGATTCATGCCTTTTTGGTCTTTGCTTGAAAAAGAGAGACTAGGTTTAGGAAAACTTGGCTAACAAGGAATTGGGGTGAACTCAAGAAATTGATAGCGCCAATTAAAGGATCAAATCTAGAGATAGTGAGACCCGAATTGAGCATATATCACTTGATTTGTGTTATACCCATTTGGGCTTGAGAAAGCCAATTGGGTAAAATCACTCAAACTACCGAGAGGTATAGAGTGAGCAATTGCGTGTGATTGCTAACCATGACCTCGATAAATCAAAATTGCCCTATAGTTTACAACCTGTTAGGTAGCCACCTTGGTGGAGGTCACGACCCTAGATTCCTTTATCATTTGAAAAACACTCAAAACTAAAAACACTGTCTTCTAGTTATTATTTGCAATCATTAGCTAAAAGTAGAAATAGAAAATAACCAATGAACATGTGGAAGTCCAATTTAAGGCACATCATACATTTACTCTAGTTATATACCTAATCCAAATTCTAACTCCGTGTGGATTCGACCCGACTCGTGTTGGGTTTATTATTGCTTCGACCGCCTCACTACCTAATTGTGGTGTGAGTTTGGGCGAGATCAATTTTTGGCGCCGTTGCCGGGGAGTTAAACGGATTTAGCTATATATCTAGGTTTTTGTGTGTTTTGTCTTTCTTTCCTTCCGAGTTACTAATTTTGTGTTTGAATTGATTCTAGGTACGAAAATGGCTCTCAACAACGAGCCAATCGGAAATGTGCACTTGGGGGAGGACGTGGACGATGATGCCATGGATGAGGTTCCTATTGAGCCTCAAGCTAATAGACGAGGTCGCCCGCCTCACGATAATGTGCCCGTCCCTCCCCCACCTCCACCAAGCGCGGTAGCCCACCGACAATTGCCAAACGAGGGTTATGCAAGTGCTATAGTCCTGCCCCACATTAGGGCGGGCAACTTCCAAATCACCAACGTGATGCTTACACTACTTGAACAATGGGATTTCTTCACTGAGGCTCCGAATCAGAATGACTACAAGCATCTCAAGGGGTTCGTCAATACTTATTAGGCGAGCAAGCAAACAAATGTTTCTGAGGACACACCGAGGTTGAGGCTATTTCCCTTTTCTCTAAGGGGAAAAGCATTAGACTGGTTAGAGAGGTTGCCCAACCATTCCATCACCACTTGGGATGAGTTGGTAGAAAAGTTCATTTCCAAATTCTTCTCTCCGGGACATATGGCAACGTTTCGGGATGAGATTCTTGCTTTCAAGCAAGAACCTAATGAGCCATTGCATGAGATTTGGGAAAGCTATCGTACCTAGTTAAAGAGTGTCCGAACAATGATATAACCGAGGCCATGATCCAACAGACCTTCTACATGGGGATCAACATAACTAATCAATGTGTGGTTAACCAACTCGCCGGGGGTAACTTCATGAACACGCCATATGCCGAAGCCTGTGAAATTCTTGATGAGATGGCGGATACCTCTTCGGCGTGGCAAAGTAGAGCCAATGTGCCACAAGGTGACCCTAATGTTATTCACTTACACAAGGAGCTACATGACCACGGGCAAGCTATAGCCAAGTTGACAAATACGATGAACCAATTGGCCAAGGCTCAACTTCAACAAGTTCAAGGGCCGAAACAAGTGCATGTAATGGAAGGTGTGAATATGATGGTAAACAAAAGACGGCAACACGGTCGACAAATGCAAAACCGTCCGGAACAATTTATGCAAGATGATAGTGGTTATGATCAAGGTGATTCATTCAATGAGAAAGATGAAGAATTTCAATATATCAATAATTATCAAGGTCAAAGAAACAATGCTCAAGGGCAAAATCAACAACAATGGAGGTAACAAGGGAACCAAGGTAATTGGAACAACCAAAACCACCAAGGCAATTGGAGTGGTGGTAATTCTAATCAAAGCAATTGGAAAAATCAAGGAAATCAAGGCAATTGGGGTGACAACAATCAAGGCGATTGGGGGGGCAATAATCAAGGAGGGTAGAACAACAACAACAACCGAGGGCCGGGTTTTCAAAGTCCTACGATGTTCCAACAACCAAGAAATACACCTCCCTATCCTTCTCAAGGACCAAGCTCTTCTTCCAATAAGATGGGTAGAATTGAAAACATGTTTAAACAGATGATGGAGAAGAACGCCGACTCCGATTCTCAAATAGTCTCGCACAATGATAACTAGGGACTCTAGCCTATTTTATGCTCCCTTTTCCTTGAGTTTTGGACTAAAATGTGTATAAGTATTCCCAAAAGCTAACTTCTTATGCTTGTTTGCAGTGTTTAGTCAAAAGGAGACAAGGATGTCATAACCAGCTCAAAAAGGAGTGAAACCTGCACAAGTTCAAAGCCAAGTCAAAGCAGCGCTACAGCGGAAAATCCACCGCGACCGCAGAAGACCCACCGCGACCGCGGTCCTTTTATCGCGGTCCGCGGTGGCAAGGTTCAGAGAGATGATTTTCTGGGATTGAAAGCTATCGCGGTCCGCGGTGATTTTATGCGACCGCGGTACCTCTACCGTGACAGTGGTCCTTTTACCGCGGTCCGCGGAGAAGAGATTCAGAGAGCCTGGAGTCTGAGCTAAAGCTGAAGACCGCGGTCCGCGGTTGATTTACCGCGGCCGCGATAGCCTCACCGCTGCAGCGGTCCATTTTCCGCTGTTAGCGGTACCTCCCTCAGGGGCATTTTTGTTCGGAAAATTTGGTGTGTATTAATACTACTTCTTCAGATTTTTAGGTCATCTTATCAGTAGTGAGCACGTGAACGGCGACTTTTACCTATTTTGAGTAATTTTGTAGCTAGTTTAGCAATTAATCTTAGTTTCTTATCTTGTAATTACAATTTATGGATTATTCTTCATCTCAATTTATGATTTCTTCTTCAATTATGAGTAGCTAAATCTATTAGCTAGGGTTGTGGCTCAACCCTAGTGTGGGTATTTAATGGGTCTCTTATTTTAGGGCTTATATGTTTATGGGTGAATGATATTTGGCCTGTTTTGTGCTTTTAATGTTGAATTGGGGGTTGCAAACACTAATTTGTGCCTTTTTGACTTAGGCTCTTCTTGAGAAAGAGAGTCCAAGTCTAGGAAATTCAGGCCAACAAGGATGTGCATTCTATCTCATTCAAGAGATTGATAGCCCCAATTAAAGGGTTAAACCTAGAGATAGTAATACCCGACTTGAGCCAATTTTGCTTGCACAAATTTGAACACCCAATTGGACTTGAGAAAGCCAATTAGGGCATAGTCACTCAAACTACCGAGAGGTATAGAGTGAGTAGTTTCGCGCATTGGCTATATCACAATTCCAGCTATAACAAATTCCCCTAAGTTTTAGATCCCGTTAGATACTCACTTAGGAGTAAGTCACTTCCCTAGTGCCTCTTTACCAATCAAGAAAACCCTACAAAAAAATATCATACCTAGTAAAATTTCCTGCATCATTAGTATAAAATTTAGAATAGTAAAAAAAATCCAAGCATGTTTGGAAGTGTAAACAATTACATCG